CCTCGCCCCTCTCTGAGCAGCAGCTGCACGGCGGCGCGAGAGAGGCGGCGTCCCCAAGCCGCGTCGAGGGCACACGCCAACACCTCGCCGCAACTCGGGCAGCGAGCGACGTGCGAGAGCGCCGCGAAGCCCGAGGCGGGCGGCCGCTTCGCCGCGTCGAGCCGCATCATCACGCGGAACGTGGAGGAGGGGCGGTGGAAGAAGCTGAAGACGGGCGAAGCGGTGAGGTGCCTCGCCGCCGCCTCACGCGCCGCCGTGCCGACGAGCAGCCGCAGGCCCGCCTCGTTGCAGCCAGGGAACTTGTGCGTGACAGCGGCGTACCCGGCTGCTGCCTGGTGCGGGTTGCTGCCGCTGGTGGTCAGCGAGTCAGTGGCGCACAGGTAGACGAGGCCGCCCGTCCTGCACGCCCACCACGCCTCTGCGGCGTGCGGCTGGCCCGTGCCAAACGCGTCGGCGTCCACAAGGTCGTACAGCGACCCGTCCAGCCGCGAGCGCATGTAGACGTCGACGGCGTCGTCGGCGGTGACGCGTGCGCGGCCGGCCGAGAGGAGCGGCTCGAGGTTGGCGCGGAGCGGGTGCTCTCCGAACATGCGCTCGTTCGCGTGCACAAAGCTCGCGTTTGCCTCGTGAGAGTAGCGGAGAGCCCGCACGCCGGAGCCGGACATGGCGTCGAGGACGCGAGGCGCGCGCTGGTGCTGCCGGCCGTGCGCCGCGAGGGCGAGCACGCCGAGGTCGCGGATGATCCGCGAGGCAGGCCGGTAGAAGAGAGGCGCGCCGCCGCCCTGCTGCAGCCGAAACGAGACGGAGCGCTCGCGGCACTCTTCGGCACAGGCGACTGATCGGGAGCGGCGCCGGCCCGCCAGCGGCAGCGCGGCTCCTCGGCCGGCGGCGGCGGACGCAGGAGCGACCATCGACTGCCCAGGCTAGTTCCCGAGGTCGTCGGGTGTGACCTTGGTGTGTTGACCCCTGCGTCCCCCGAGACCTAGCGCGGGTGGGTTGGAGGGGGGCTCGCTGCAGGGAAGGGTTGTGTAAGAAGCCGATCCCCGTAGTCTGCCCCGCTCCTCCCCATCGGGCTGCATGAGCGGCCACGCCTCGCAGATTCGTTTTCGCGCCTGGGTCAGGCGCGCGCGCGGGGCATCGTCCCCCGGGTCGCTGGACCAGCGATCCGAAGAGTGGCTGTTATGCGAAGGAAAGAGCGGGGCCCTCGACATAAAGTCCGGCCCTCCGAGGGGGGAAGGGAATTGCGGGGTCCCCACGGGCGCCTCTCTTCGGCCCTCCCGAGGGGGGGAGGGGGAGCCAGGGGGTGGGTGGGGGGATCGGGGCGGTGGGGAGGGGTCTCGGTTTCGTGTGGCTAATACTTGCCTTTCGGGGAGGGGCCTCGCGTCAGGCGCGCAAGGCACGCCCGTCCTCTTCCCCTCCTCCCCCGAGGCAGCGAGTAGGCAGCGAGTGGAGGTCTCGAGCGCCTATATGAAGGTATGTGAGATGGTGATGGGAATGGGTGGTCGGGCGGGCGGGCGGGCGGGCGGGCGGGCGGGCGGGCAAGCGGGGAGAGGCGGGCGGGCGGGGCGGGGCGGGCGGGCGGGGTGATCGGAGAAGTCGTATCCACAATCCGCAGCAGCGGAGCAGCCGCAGCAG